AAAACCTGAGTTTAAAGTATAAAAACACGAGTTTAAAGTATAAAAACATGAGTTTAAAGTGTAAAAACATGAGTTTAAAGTATAAAAACACGAGTTTAAAGTATAAAAACATGAGTTTAAAGTGTAAAAACATGAGTTTAAAGTATAAAAACACGAGTTTAAAGTATAAAAACATGAGTTTAAAGTGTAAAAACATGAGTTTAAAGTATAAAGACTTGAGTAGTGTAAAAACATGACAGCCTGCAGAGAGAGAGCAGCTTTTGTTATTTTCAGTTCAGTTTATATCTGTCTAAATTTCCAATTATCTGAATATGTTCAAAATAATTTTTTTTATTGGTTAGTTATTTTCAGTGGTAAAATTTTCACCTTTAGAGTCTTAAATTATTATTATTATTATTATTATTATTATTATTATTTCCTCCCATCTTTCAGTCTGAAGCTTTAAAAACAAAGCCGCGGTGCCGCGCTCCAGTGAACGCGCATTGTGTCGGTTAGAAAGGGCGGAGCCTTTGTGGGAGTAGCTGGGCCCACAGCCAATCAGAGGCGTCCTGTCTCCACGTGTCCCGCCCCCTGCAGTACGTGCTCGACCAGGGCTCTGTGCTCGACGTGTCCTCCCCGCGGCGGGTATTTTGGTGCAGCAGAACCTGATGATGTCACTGCTCCAGCTGAATGTTCATCACGTGACACGGGTTGATAAACAAATAGAGGGACTTGGTTACTGCTGACTGGAAAGAAAACAGGTGGGCGATCATGTAATTGTCTCTGTGTGTGTGTGTGTGTGTGTCCCTCTGTTAGCAAAATATCTCATGAACCAGTGGATGGATTCTAATGAAACTCTCAGATAGTAATCTCTGGAGGAACATCTAAACCTGATTAACTTTTAAAGTCACACTGATTCAAGATGGCTGCCATACCACCTTGGCTTTAGCAAATACAAAAAAGGCCAAAACCCAGTCAGTTTTACAGATATCGAGCTAAGATTTGGTGTGGTAGTAGCTGAAAGTCATCTCCAGCACATACTCCAAGCACTACTGAATCAAATGACATACTGGTTTAAAACATTGGTTTCAGTTGCACCATCTGAAGATCTCTGCAGCTTTCAAATGACAAACAACAAAATTGCTCAAGATTACAGGAGTTCATTTGTGTTTAAAGATCTTTGTTTTTATTTTCACATCTGTGATAAGTTCAGTTGTTTAAAACCATAAATAATGCTGAAAAGCCCCCATGGTTTATATTTTGCAAACACAAACAGTAGTTGGTGTGGAGCTTGGACCAGCAGGAGGCGCTGCGTCCTACAGTCAGCCTGATTCACTTTCCAGGATTAATTTAGAAAATGGATGAAATAACAACACTTCAACCAGCAGCCAATCACTTTCCTTCTTCCTGTTTGTCCTAAAATATACCAGATTTTAATTCAAAGTCAGGCCGTGTGCAGGAGCTCTGCCTGCCTGGAGGAGGAGGCTGTTTTTGTCAGAGCTGTGAAACATTTACCACCCTGCTGAAGAGAGGCCTTGAGCTCATTCTACCAGAATAACAACCCCTCCTTGGCCCCCTCGGCCCCTCGCGGCCCCCCTCGCTCCTCTGTTTGTGGATCTTTATGAACGGTTCGGTGGGTGGGATCCAGGTTTATGGATCTTCATCAGGAGAACTCAACCCTTTGAGTCAAAGTGTCCTCAGGCCTGAGAGCGGCCCCCCTGTTTACTGGTCAATGATTGAGTGAAAAAAGCAGATTTGTTGAGCAATTTCTGAGATAAGAAGCACTGGCTGAGTGGATCCTGATTTGTAGCACATGATCGACAGTAAACCATGACCCTGTTTTGATTTTTGACATGTACGTTGACACATTTTAAAATATTTTTTAGTCAAAACATAAATAAAAATTTGTTTTGTTATATAAAAGACGTACTTGTAATGATGACGATGTGCTCGTTACCTTGGTTGCATGTGTTGGGTCAAAGACTTGAAAAGCTGGAATGTACGACAACATTACCTTACCGTAGTGTAACCGCCTGGATGTTTTTGTGGTGTTGTGTTTTTCAGTGTGACGTTGCTGCAGAGCATCTGTGGCATTCAGTAACTTGTCTCAGTTTCTGCATGAAGCTGTGGTTGATGAGCCTGTGAATGATCATCCAGTACCAACAAAATGCGAAAGAACCTTTTTAGACTGGATGAAGATAGAATTGTTCTGTATGAAAGATATGATGTTTGTCAAGCCTGCAACTGTTATGGTAGATGGTAGTACCGTTTGTCAACCATGGAGCTCTTTTAGTAGATGGTAGTACCGTTTGTCAACCTTGGAGGTTTTTTAGTAGACGGTAGTACTGTTTGTCAACCTGGAGCTTTTTTTAGTATATGGTAGTACCATTTGTCAACCCTGCAAATGTTATAGGAGATGGTAGTACCGTTTGTCAACCCTGGAGCGTTTTTAGTAGACGTAGTACCGTTTGTCAACCCTGGAGCTTTTTTAGTAGATGTAGTACCGTTTGTCAACCCTGGAGCTCTTTTAGTAGACAGTAGTACCGTTTGTCAACCTTGGAGGTTTTTTAGACGGTAGTACCGTTTGTCAAAACTTGGAGGTTTGTTAGAAGACGGTAGTACCGTTTGTCAAAACTTGGAGGTTTTTTAGTAGAGGGTAGCACCGTTTGTCAAAACTTGGAGGTTTTTTGGTAGACGGTAGTACCGTTTGTCAAAACTTGGAGGTTCTTTGGTAGACGGTAGTACCGTATGTCAACGCTGGAGATTTTTTAGTAGATGTAGTACCATTTGTCAACCCTGGAGCTTTTTTAGTAGACGGTAGTACCGTTTGTCAACCCTGGAGCTTTTTTAGTAGACGGTAGTACCGTTTGTCAACCCTGGAGCTTGTTTAGTAGACAGTAGTACCGTTTGTCAACCCTGGAGCTTGTTTAGTAGATGGTAGTACCATTTGTCAACCCTGGAGCTTTTTTAGTAGACGATTGTACCGTTTGTCAACCCTGGAGCTTTTTTAGTCGACGGTAGTACCGTTTGTCAACCCTGGAGCGTTTTTAGTAGATGGTAGTATCGTTTGTCAACCATGCAACTCTTATAGTAGACAATAGTACTGTTTGTCAACCCTCCAACTGTTTTAGTAGATGGTAGTATGGTACCGTATGTCAACCCTGGAGCTTTTTTAGTAGATGGTAGTACCGTTTGTCAACCCTGGAGCTTTTTTAGTCGACGGTAGTACTGTTTGTCAACCCTGGAGCTTTTTTAGTAGATGGTAGTACCGTTTGTCAACCCTGGAGCTTTTTTAGTCGACGGTAGTACCGTTTGTCAACC